TTAAAGATTTATTTATTTATTATATATGAATACACTGTAGCTGTCTTCAGACACACCAGAAGAGGGCGTCAGATCTCATTACAGATGGTTGTGAGCCACCATGTGGTTGCTGGGATTTGAGCTCAGGACCTCTGGAAGTGCAGTCACTGCTCTTAACCACTGAGCCATCTCTCCAGCCCCAGGATATTTATTCTTATTGAAGTTACTTTTCTCATCTGTGAAAGGGATGAACAGGGTTGCTCAGTTTTATGTGCCCAAAGGGATCTTGGGAAGCAGACTCGAGAGGGTAGAAGCCAGAGCACTTCCAGCCATAGCATGCTCTCCAAGTGTGGGTGTCACCACTTAGTTGTGCTGCATGTCACAGAGAGCAGCAGAAACCTGGCTGTGTGGCTTTCTTCCCTGTGGAGCTTTTGTGGAGCTTTTGTGGCTTAAAGAATCTGTATTTTGTGGCTTCAGATCATGGTTGTAATTACTGGTGTAGTAGTTAGCAGTTACAAGATGTTTAAAGTGTTTTGAAAGGTTTACTAGTTCTATCTGAATGTTGCAGTAAACTTACTAAAAGCTTTAATGTCAAATGATTTCTGAGCAGAAATTCTTAAAATGTGGACAGCAAGTAGTGGCACCCCCATCCTCACTGAAACCCCAGGGCTTGTGAACACAGATCCCAGCACCCCCATCCTCACTGAAACCCCAGGGCCTCTGAACACAGAGCTCACCAGCAGAAGACTCTGCAGAGGTTATGAGGGTTGAAGATAGAGAGATTATGGCGTTTGTTAGCGAGCCTAGCATAAGCACCTGGCTCTGAGAGTAGAAAAGGAAGATGGTTGAGGGGCCGGAAGACCAACCAAGGATTGCAGAACGGAAAGACACAAATGGAAAAAGGAACTGAATGCTAGAAGCTGGAACGTCTAAGGATAACTCAGCTGATATCCATCAAGGAAACAGTCTCAGTCCCATGACCTCCAGGAATGAATCCTGTCAACAACCAGATGAGGACGTCTTAGGGGAGACAGGGTTTGTCTCACCTTACAACTCAGACAACACTCCTTTGCTGAGGGAAGTCAGGGCAGGAACTGAAGTAAAACCCATAGATCCAAGGATGGCTTGCTCAGTTTGCTTTCTTAGTCAGTGCAAGACCACTTGCCCAGGGGTGGCACGCCTACCTCAGTCATTATTTAAGAAAATGCCCTACAGGCAATGTGATGGAGGCATTTCCTCAACTGAGGTTTCTCTTCCTAGATTACTGTAGCTTGTGTCAAGTTAACAAAAGACTAGTCCACACAAGCATGGCTCCTCCTGCCTGGCATCCACACCACAGTCACCATCCACATCTTGATTTCAGTTCTGTGACACCAGCATTGGCCCTGCACACATAGAAAATGACACAGCTGGTAAGGACAAGGAGTAATTTGTCTAGGCATGTCAAATATTCATTCAGAGCACAGCAATAAAATACAGTTAAGAAAGCGTCTAGCCTCTGAGAGTCTTTTCTGATGGCTCCACCAGTCAGCATTCAATGCAAAAAATAAATCTCAGGATTTTCATCAGGAAGTGATTGACTGCAAAAAATTTGACTGCTACCAAAGTTGTTGAGGCCAGCAGGATGGCTCAGCAGATAATAAAGCTCTTGTTTCGAAAGCCTGGTAACCTCAACCCATTCCCATGGGTTAAGGGAAAGAACTGGCTCCCCCAAATTGTCCTCCAACTGCCAAATGAGGGCTATGCTTATACTTACACCTAAATCTGTGCCTATACTTACACTCTCCTCACACACACTTAGACATACACACCCCCACCAACAATAAAGTAATGAAATATTTTTTTTTGAGATATGGTCGTATTGCATAGCCCTAGCTAACCTGGAGCTTACTATGTAGACCAAGCTGTTCTTGTACTCATAGAGGTCTGCCTGCTTCTGCCTACCAAGTGCTGAGATTAAAGGCATGCCTACCATGCCTAAGTGTGAATGTAGTAGATGCAGAACTGTGCATAATTGTATATTGACATAAAAGGGGGGGTTATAAAACCTACTGTTAATATGAACATAATGCCGGCTTCTCCCTGACACGGATACAGCAGTCACATGACCAGCTTTATAAAGACATCGCAATTCTTTCTGTGAGCAAAGGAAAACCTTTCTTTTATTAAATTTCAATATAACATTTTCTTTTCTTTTTTTTCTTTTTGGTTTTTCGAGACAGGGTTTCTCTGTGTAGCCCTGGCTGTCCTGGAACTCACTCTGTAGACCAGGCTGGCCTCCAACTCAGAAATCCACCTGCCTCTGCCTCCCAAGTGCTGGGATTAAAGGCGTGCGCCACCACTGCCCGGCTAACATTTTATTTTCTTCATTTTTTTCTTTTCTGTTTTTTTTTTTTTTTTAAATATAGAGTCTCACTCACTTTGTAGCTTTGGCTGGCCTAGAACTAACTATGTACCCCAGGATGACCTCAAGCAAAGATCCACTGGTCTGTGTCTCTTGGGTGCTGAGACTAAAGGCATGTGCTACTTTCCCATGTTCATTAGAATGTTTTCCTACGCGTGCCGTTAGACTTTGCTCTAGTTAGTTCCCCTCTGCAATGCCCTCTTCCATGCTTTGGATGTTTCTGTCAAATAAAAAATTTATATTTATTTATTTATTTGGTTTTTTCGAGACAGGGTTTCTCTGTGTAGCCCTGGCTGTCCTGGAACTCACTCTGTAGACCAGGCTAGCCTCGAACTCAGAAATCCACCTGCCTCTGCCTCCCAAGTACTGGGTTTAAAGGCGTGCGCCACCACCACCCGGCCCAAATAAAAATTTTAAAATGTTTGCAGTACTACTTACTATTTTTCTGTTATGACCTCTGCATTTAATGCAAATGACCCAGGTCACTACTGTGACTACATTTACTTATGTTTTGTATTATTATGTGTATTTGTTTATTGTGCACTCGTGTGTGTGTGTGTGTGTGTGTGTGTGTGTGTGCATGTGGCATGCATGTGGGGAGCAGAGGAGGACTTTCCTGAGTCTGTTTTCTCTCTGCACTGTGTATTCTGGCAGTCAAGCTCAGCTTGTTCAGGAATTTCTTTTACCACTGAGGCATCTTGACTGCCCTAAATGATCTTTTAAAAATATTGTTTATATTTTATTTAGTATTGTGTTTTGTGTGTGTGTGTGTGTGTGTGTGGTAGCCTTCTTGTGATGGTTAGATGCAATGTTAGATCAATTGGACAATATTGTGCAGTTCTGCCTTTATTTGGGTCCCACTAATCAAATGCATGTCTTCAGGCTTATGTGGCGAGTGTCTTTACCCACAGACATGTCTTGCTGGCACCCAGCATTGTTTTTGAGAGACCAAACAGAGGAGCAAGGTAATTATTCAAAGGAAAGTGAGAACTAGAAGATGGATGGAAAGGGCAGGAAGCTGGCCAGCAGAGTCTGCCAGTGTCCTCTGTAGCATCAGCAATGCAGAGGAGAGAGAGCGGGCAGTGAGCGCAAGTCAGGCCAAAGTCTACTTTAACGTTCGATGGTGGGATGGAGACACGGGAACATTAGAAGTATGTAGGACATATCCTAGAGACCTGAGAACCACATCAAAAGTAATGACAAATCGGACTAGAGATTTGCTATTGGCATGAGAGGACTGGCCACTGTCCTGATCTGAGGGCAGCTGCAGTGTTAACTGGTGCTAGCAGTAGATTGGGGATTGAGGGCAAAGGATAGGGAGGGGTTGGGTCTCGATGCTGAGATTTTGATGACAGCCTATCAAATAAGGAGGGTGAAAAAGACTGCAGATTTGATGGCTTGGCCAACAAAGAAAGTGTAGAGCAGTAGTTCTCAACCTTCCTAATGCTGCTTTAATACAGTTCCTCAGGTTGTGGTGACCCCCCCCCAACCATAAAGTCAATTGCTACTACATAGCTACAATTTTGCTACTGTTATAAATCATGATGTAAATATCTAATGTGGAGAATATCTGATATGCAAACCCCATGAAAGGATCATTCAACCCCCAGAGGAGTCGGGACCCACAGGTTGAGAACCACTAGCACAGAGGCCACAGCTTTGTGGTGCATCTCTACAGGATGAAGACAAAGATGTTCCAAGGAGTAGCATGGGGCAGACAGAAGATTCAGGAGTATTTCAAACACAGGGGGAATCCAGGAGACTGGTTTCAGACAAGGGAGTAGTAAAATCAGGAGAGTAGTCTAGGTAGTGGCAGAAAATGGATGAGACTGCCCTAGTAAAGGGAAGTCCTCACTCGGTCTCTGCGGCATGGTCTCTGAAGGGAGATGAGTATCCCTTCTGTGAGGTAACGTCAGGAAGTTTGATATTTAACAGAAAGACATAGATGACAGGTTCTAGCTAGCGACATCATAATGTTATAACAGCAATGCATGGCGAAGGAGAGAGTTTCCGAAGGGAACAGTTTTGCTATGAATGATCTGGGTAGTCTGTGTCAGCTAGGCACCAACTGGAGCTGCCTGGGAGGATGGACCCCGGCTGAGGAATTGCCTCCATCAGATTAGCCTGTGGGCTTGTCTGTGGGCATTTTCTTTATGAGTGATCCTTGCACTAGCAGTGCCATGTCTGAGCAGGTGTTGTATAAGAAGGCAGGTTGAGCAATCCACGAAGAACAAGCCAGTGAGCACAGTTCCTCTCCAGTCCCTGCTTCAGCTTCTCCTGATGATGGTGTGGAACCTGTAAGCCACGTAAGCCTTTGCCTTCCCGGGGTTGGTTTTGGTCAGTATTTTATCACAGTGGAAAAAAGAAATTCAGGACAAGGAGTGTCTTAGTAGGGCAGTGGATGTTTTCTACAGATGCTTTCAATGGTGGAATGAGATTCCGGGGCTGTGAACCAAGATGGACTCCAACACACAACTGTCAGGAATGACCGTGAGGAAAAGCTGATTCGTTCAAGGTTGAAGGGGAGGAAAGAGTCGGTGATGTGAGTGAGAAGCTTGTGATGGTGTAGAGGAAGAGTGTGGCAGACTCCTGGCTAATGCCCAGTCTTCCATGAGGTGGGAAGTGCTGTCCCAGGTATCTGCAGATTCACTCCACAAACTTGGATTCTGGTTGTAGAGGGGCCTCCATCCAATAAGCTGCTGCTGGATGCTAAATCCAAGGTCACCAACCAGGTGAGCAGCTGCAGATTCCAAAAGTTGTGGACCCTGCAGGAGTGAGTCTCACCCTGTTCTTCCATGTCCGACCCAAGCCAGGGCCCTTCTGTCCATCTAACTTGTTTCCTCCCCTCTGCGTGTGAAGTGAAGCCAATTGTGATTTAAGCTTTTCTGCTCAGAGAGTTCGGATCAAGTACTGTTCTACGTTAATTAGGCAACCTTTCCTGGAAGCCTATGCACTTCCAGAGGAAACTGGGCCTGGCTGTGAGTTCGGATAGCTGTGACCTTTAAGTGTCCTTAAATGGCAGCGATGCTGGAAGGGAAGAGCCAGCCCGCTGGAATGAGACCACTACTGTTCCCGAGTTTCCCTTTCCCCAGACATAAATCTAACATAAATCTAACATAAATCATCATTCTAACATAAAGGACTCACCTTCTGACACAGAGCGGTGTAAGGATCAAAGGACTTGTATTCATTGTAAATCATTCTTCCATTTTCCCATGTCTTAAAATAATTGAAAAATATCCGATAAGCAGGGAGAAAGCGAGGCAGTGAGAGCAGACCTGCTGCCTTTGCCTACCAGGAGGGTGCGCGTGGCTGTGTACGCTCTTAGGAAAACCCACTGCTAAAACATATTTTTCTTAATTTTTAAGGGATATTTCTTTCCTGTATGATGTTAAATATGTAAAAGGAGAGACCAGGGAGAACAAACTTTGTCCCCCAAACAAGTCATCACAGTCACAGAACAGTGCCATGGTGCCTCATAAGGTAAGTTGAGAAGAAGACTTCTCCCACTCTTGGCTTTTCTAAGTGTTTCTCTAAACTCTAAAGCAGCACCAGACTGTAACAATAGTCTACAAAACTCCACTGTCTTCAGATACATTCTAGCTATTTCTTTACAATAGAACTTACTGGGCAAAGATCTTCTAAGCCAGTCCCCAAACTACACTGAACTGTTTTGATGAGTAAGTATTTACTGATTTTACAAGTACAAAATCAGGGAAGACCAGATTCTTCCTCCCCAGGGAAAATTCACAGAGTTGTAGACAATGACTTTTCTGCCCTCCCCTCCTCTTTCTTTCTCTTCTTCTTCTTCCTCCCTGCCTCCCTCCCGCAGACACTCCGGGGGTCCCAAGCTCCCTCCTTTTCCTCTCCCTCCCCCGCTCCCCTGCCTCTCATTTGAGATAGTGGTCTCTCTATGTAGCCCCACATATCCAGGAACTTGCTATGTTAATCAGGCTAGCACCCAAGATCTACTTCTGTTTCCCAAGGCATCTCTCCTATTATTCATAGTGTGGGTCAGACCACTATTTAATTACCTTATACCTTTCACCACAAGCCTTGGCAGTAACATTAAATTTCCTGGTGTTCTTTTTCTCTTCAAACTGTACGTTTTGTATCTCTTTCTGCCCCACTTGCTCTTTTTTCATCATATATCGGCATAAGAATGATTACTAATAACCACACGACATAGTCAATTAGGTTGTCTTGAAATCTCCACCAAAGAAATTAGTCCATTACTCCTTAACTTAACCTATTAAGACAAGGGCAGAAAGCCGGGTGGTGGTGGCACACACCTTTAGTCCCAGCACTTGAGAGGCAGAAGCAGGGAGATCTCTGAGTTTGAGGCCAGCCTGGTCTACAGAGTGAGTTCCAGGACAGCCAGGGCTACACAGAGAAACCCTGTCTTGAAAAAAAAAAAAAAAAGACAAGGGCAGAAAGCAGCCACAGTCTTTGCCAAAATATCACAGGCATGGTCTCTAGCCAAGTTGCTAGTATTGTTCCTCTCTGAAGCCTCTTGATCTGGTCCTCCACAGTCCTCATAGCTCTCAGATTACTGTCCTCCAGACTCTTCTGGGGTGACCCACTAATCTCCATTTACAGTGCTCAAAGGTTCTTCTAGTCCAAAGTCTTCTACATTTCTCCAAAAACCAGCATGGTCAGGATTCACAGGAATAGCTCATTCTCTGGTTCTAACATGTCTTAGTTACTTTATTATTGCTGTGACAAAATACCGTGACCAAGAGAACCTATTATGAAAGTGTTAATTGGGCTTATTGTTTCAGAGGGTTGAGTCCATGATGGCTGGAGCAAAGGCATGGTGGCCGGAACAGCTGAGTACATCTTGATTCAGGAGCAGGGGGCAGAGTGAGGGCACACTGGGAATGGCGCAAGTTTTTTGAAAACCTCAAGGCTGACACCCAGTGATATACCTCCTCTAATAAGGCCATACCTCCTAACCCTTTCCAAACAGCTCCATCAACTGGGGACCAAGAGTTCAAATGCCTGAGACTTATAAGGGATTGTAAATGAATTATCTTTAATATAAATATTAGCAGTGAATTAAAACAGTGGCTGTATCTCTTTACCTTATGCTAGTTTACAATAACTACACAGAGAAACCAAGATTTATTTTAAACTATACCTCAGTTGCTGAGCAGTTAAATGATCTACCTTAAGCTTGTATGCCAATCTGGCTTCCTCCCAGCCCCATCCGGTGACATTTGCATATCGTTATTGATCTAGCACTTTAGGCTTCAACTGTGTTTCCATGATCTCTCTCCAGTCCCCTTCCTCATGGCACCAAATCCTCCATCCTCCTTGTCCCTCTCTCCATCTCTCCTCCCTCTGGCTGGCAGATGTCCCGCCCTAGTCTCTATCCTGCCCGGCAGCATTTATTGACGAGCTAGAGAATAAATGGTAAGAATTGTTTACACGAACTTGAGATAGGAGATTCTTGGCATAACCATTATAATGCCTTGTCTGGATTGAAGCAAGATACGAGGGCAGAGAAATCAGCATTTGAATAACACAAGGGTAGATGTTACAAAGTGTATTAAAAACATTATGTCTACAAGGGACATCTCATTCAAACTGCCACATGAAGAAAAAAAAGGAGCTAAAGGATTTATGAATATAGTTGGCCCTCCATACTTGAGAGTTCTCCATTCACCTATGCCATCAACCACAAGTGAAATTTTTTTGCAAAAAAAAAGAAAGAAAGAAAAGAAAAGAAAAAGAAAGAAAGAATGTATCTATACTACACAAGTACAGATGTTTTCTTGTCATTTCCTAAATTGCTGAGTCTGGCTTGACCATGTAAGGGATGGCATGGCATGGTTCCTGCCCTTGGAACAGAGCCAGTAGGGTGTGGTCCTCCATGAGTGTTGATGGTTGCTGTGGGCACAAGGTTTGTTTGTCTAATAAAGTACATATTTTCATGTTCTTTCCTCGAGGAATGTCCTCTGCCAAGGTCAATAATCAGAGGCAGCATGAGTCTTGGAGGCAAGGGTGTGGTTAATATCTCAGCAAAATGGTAAATGCTGAGACCTTCAGGATAGCCCTTAAGGCTGTGGGAAAGAACTCTGAAACCATGAGTTTAAGAATATATATTTCTCAACTATGCAAAATATAAGGATGCAATATGAATCATATAAGGAGCTTTATAGACCTAAAAGAACAGAGGCAGCTGCACTGTGAGCCAGTTTGTTGGAAAAATACAAAGGCAGGCATATTCCTAAATTCATATTCAAGGCATATTCAAGGTCAGCGTGGGACAGAACTAGATTAGGCCCTGGCATGGTAGGAATGGCAATCTCAGAGTGAGATCCCACCCAGCTAGCTTATTGTCTGTACTTACAAAAGCAGGCAGATTTCTGAATTCATTTGCAATGTTAAAAAATGTGCTTGCTGTATTTTTCTAAGAATCAGGGGGCTGGGGTCATGGGATACTGATTTGTGGGATGGTCAAGAGGGAACCTGTAGTAAATGACTGAATAGATGTGTAAATAAAAGACTGAACTTTTGGTCTGAAGGAGATGAGCTAGCAGAGAACAATAACAGTTCTTTGTTTAGGATTTTTTTTTTTTCCTAGCAAGAGAGAGCTGTCTCAAGCAGAGAGCTGTCTGGAGCAGAAAGCTATCTTCAGCAGACTATAGAGCCAAGAGTTATCTATAGAGGGCTATCTAGAAAGCTATCTTGAGCAGAACACAGCTTGTATCCCACAATTTGACTTTGAGCCTTCTTTTCTCTGGTCCCAGACCTTTTCCTCAGAAACCCTCTCTAAACTGAGGCTGGTCATTGGCACTAAATAATTCAACATGACAGTAATATACTTATATGAGATATTATAGTAACCCAGAGTCAATACAACATAAATAAGAGATGTATATAGGCCCAACCTAAACACTAAACTGTTTTATGTAATGGAGTTGAACATCTAAATTAGTGGTTTTCAACCTCTGGGTCACAACCCCCTTAGCAATCCTCTTTCTTCCAAAACTGCTCTTCCTCTCTCTCCCTCTCTCTCTCTCTCTCTCCCTCTCTCCCTCCTCCTCTCCTCCTCCTCCTTCTTCCTCTCTCTCTCTCTCTCTTTCTCTCTCTCTCTTTCTTTCTCTCTATCTTTCTTTCTCTGTGTGTTTTAGGACAGGGTTTCTTTGTATATCCCTGGCTGTCCTAGAACTTGCTTTGTAGACCAATCTGGCCTTGAACTCATAGAGATCTGCCTGTGTCTGTTCCCAAGTGCTAGGATTAAAAGCATGTGCATCTGATGCCCAGCATATGTTATGCTTCATAATAGTAGTGGAATCACAGTTATGAAGTAGCAATGAAAATAATTTTCTGGTTGGGAATCACTACAACATGAGGAACTGTATTAAAGGGTCACAGCATTAGGAAGGTGGAGAACCACTGTTCTAGATTTTGGTATCTTTGAAGGATCTTAAAATTAGTCCTTCTCAAATATCAAATAATGCTTATAACAGAAGAAAATCTGTCCTTACATTCATGCTTAGTTTTACAGTGTATGTCCAGCTTAAAGCATTTTTTGGCCTATGCTATGACTCACATGTTATTAATATTACTAATATTATTACTTATCTTATCAAACTCTCTCAACTTAAGATGATGTGTGGCAGTGCATGCCTTCAATCCCAGCACTTGGGATGCAGAGGCAGGAGGATCTCTGTTAGTTTGAGGCCAGCCTGGTCTACAGAGTGATGTTTAGGACAGTTGGGACTACATAGAGAGACCTTGTTTAAAAACAAACCAAGTCTCTCAACTTACAGTTGGGCATGATGGTGCAAATGTGCAAACTGGCTCTTGGAAGCAGAAGCAGTATTAGCCAGGAGTTCCAGACAGACAGAGCTGTTGTAGTGAGTGAGACTGGGTTTCAAGAAAGTTTACCACTGCGATTGCTCAATAATCGTATCCCTTTGGGATAGGGACTAAAATTTGTGTAACCTAAGTGTTTTTCATGTATTAATATATTCATCCTTTTCTTTATATACAGAAAACATTAGCAGACACTTTGGTTCCTGAAGAATTTCATATTGTGTCAAATACAGGAGTTTCAGGGTTGGAGTGTTATGACGAGTGAGTACCAGGATGGTCTGTTGACTATCTGACATGAGCTCTGTTGTCCTTTCACCTGGGAAGAGCACACTCACTTCCTAATGTGGTAAGAGGATATAGGGGACATGTGGGCAAGCTGCCCTAACTTTAGAGCTAAAGAGATGACTCAACACTTAAGATCACTTGCTGCCTTTGCAGAAAACCCAGGTTTGAGTCTCAGCATCAGATGGCAATTTACAACTTCCTGCACTCCAGTTATAGGGGGTTTGTACATGTTAACAAGTGGTCTTCCACTGAGCTACATTCCAAGCCCATCCTGCCATCATTGAAAATGCCAAAAGGCACCTTTGTTGTTCTTAATTACATTTATTTATTTGTGTGTGTGGAGGGGTGCACATCAGAGAATAGCTTTTGGGAATCAGATGTTTCCTTTCACCATCTGGGTCCTAGGCATCAAATTCAGGATGCTGGGCTTGGTGTTGAGTACTTTTACCTGCTGAGCATCTCAATGGCGTTTAAAAAATCTCATGTGGTTCAGATAGGTCTCAAACCTTCTGTAGAGGAGGTGAGCTTAAACCAATCTTCCTGCCTCTGCCTCCCATGTGTTGGAATTGCATACCTACGTCTTTTTTTGTTTGTTTTAATGAATCAAGGAAATCTTTGTATTTTGATATATCAAGGAATCAAGTTAAATATCCTTTACTAAAAGTGTTCCATGTTTGATCAGTGTCATAATATTTCTGTGTGGATATCTGTGGATGATCCTGGATGTACTAAAGGACCTTGAACAATTGTGTCCAAGCTTCTAAGTTCCACTGAAGCTCTAGCTTTGTCTAGCTGTAATTTCTTCCATCTCCACTCCATGAACATGCGTTTCTTTTAGTGGAGAATGACTCTTAGCTACCAAGATGCTGGGTCTCTGGTGTGCTGACTGATGGACAGGTCAGATAGTGTCCTTCCTCTCTTGTCTCCCTTCCCCCCTCTCTGCCCTAGGGCCTAGTTTTCCACCACCATCTTAAATGCTTCAGCCCTCGAATGTTTTTTTGTTTTAATATTTCTCTTATCTTATTTGTTGCAGCAAGTACACCACCCTCCTCACCGACAGTGAGAACAGACTGTTACTCTTCCCGTCCATGTAAGTACAGATGATTTTTGTTTTGTTTTGTTTTGATTTTTGGTTTTTCGAGACAGGGTTTCTCTGTGTAGCCCTGGCTGTCCTGGAACTCACTCTGTAGACCAGGCTGGCCTCGAACTCAGAAATCCGCCTGCCTCTGCCTCCCAAGTGCTGGGATTAAAGGTGTGCGCCACCACCGCCCGGCTTGTACAGATGATTTTTTAAGTGTTTCTTGGAAAGAGTAACTACACATATGTGTTCTTTTCCTTGGTACTTTACTATACAAAAACATTCGAGTCACAGCAGGGACCCAAGCAGGTAACAGTTGCCCATAAGACATCATTTAATCAGTTGTGTTCCTGTGACCAGTTGCATATTCAAATAGTATACATAGCATGGTACTTGGGCACTATAATGTGCTTTTATATTTTGTACTTTGTTAGAATCTTTCTGCATTGCTGTCTTTTGTCTTTTCTCACACTCCGAATGTTATGGCTCCCTCCTTTTCTGTGTGTTCTTGCCGTTCATATATATATATATATATATATATATATATATATATATATATATATAATCTTTGGCTATATAGCAAGTTACAGGACAGCCAGGACTACAGTGAAATCCTGTCTCAAAAAACTAATAATTATATATTTTATATTATTAATATAGTAATTAATTATATATAAATTATATGTCAATATCTATTTATATAATATGCAATAAACATGTTATAATATATTAACATATAGTATGTAATATATGGTATATATGTAATATGTAGTTTATAATTATCAATTAATATAATGTGGTTTATGTAATTAATATATTAATACTAATGATAATTATAATAATATGTTATTATAGTTATCATTTATTGTTGTTAGTATTATTTTCATTAGTATCTGAAGATGGCCTGATGAGATGTTATTACCTAGCCTGTCCCTTTGATCTTCAGGAAACCGAATAAGAGAGTAGAAGTGGTCCAGCTGAACGACGTGATGGACACCATGCTGGAGAGGGCTGGAGTAGAAAATGAGAATTATGTGGGGCCAACCAAGGTAACCTCACGCCAGTCAGAGGCACCCCGTGGGTAAGAAGGGTGTGCGCCTGGGAGGCACAGTGTGCTTTGGAATCTAACTCTGGCATTTGCTCTGAGCAGCATGGGTAAAGCGTCTCAGGTACTTGCATCTCAGTTTCTTAACCTGTTGGTTATAAGTGACACTAGTGCCTGCCACATGGTGTTGTGAGTGAGACTGAGTGGCACATTAAAGTGCTCAGAAAGCACTTAGGAAGCACCTGAGTGGCACACGATGCAGGTGTCTGGACGGTTGTCTATTGTTTGGTCATGTGTTCTGAGAGAGGTATCATTAGGTGACGTGATTACTGTGCAAACACGATAGCATGGATTTACATAAACCTAGACACACACGCCTAGGGAGGATAGACTGCTACAGCTCCACAGGCCGTTGTAGCACAATGGTAAGGATCCATATCCAAATGGAGAAGGACATAACCAAGAGACATACGAAAGTAGCAGGTGACAGGGATTTTCAGTCCTATTTAACCTTACAGAGCCATGGTTAAGGCCTGGTTTGTTGTTGACTGGAGCATTGTTATTTAGCATGTGACTACATTGCTACTCTGTTTCTCAAGGCTTCATGGGTTGATCTGATTACTTAGTTTTATTTTGAACTGACATACAAGACATATTTATGGAGTGGAATAAAATTTCCTTATACAATGTGTAGTGACCAGATGAGGTAATTTGCATATCCTCCAATATTTATTATTTCCTTATACTAATATATTTAAAATCTTCTTTAGTAGATGTTTTGTTTTGAAGTAGGATCTATGTAAGCCAGGCTTGTCTTGAACTCTCTATGTATCAGGAGGTGATTTTGAACTTTTTGTGGATGAACTTCTGATCTTCCTGTCTCCATCTTTCAAGGGTTACAGATTGACACCGACATGCCTGGTTTATGTGGTGTTTGGGATTGAACCCAGGGCTTTACAGGCACTTTACCAGCTGGTCACATCCCTAACTGCTCTCTTGGTTATTTTGAAATACATAGCTGGTGGTGATGGCATAGGTCTGTAGCCTTCTTAACACTTGAGGGTAGAGGCAGAGCGTTTCAAGTTCCAACCCAGTGTGGGCTATATAGCAAGTACTCATCTGAAAACAAACCACAAACAAAAAGAGGGCTGGTAAGATAGCTCAGTGGGTAAAGGCACTTGCCAGCAAGTCTGGTGACTGTGGATTTGATCGATACATGATGGGTAAGATGGTATCAGCTTGTATTAAGATTATGTAATTCACCGGCTGTTCCTGTAATGGATTACATAAGCTATCCCCATTCAGCCTACAATCCCAGAACCCCAGGACCCCAGAATGCTTTTAGTTGTCATTGCTTTAGATAGCTTCGGTCTCAAACAGTTACCAGCATTTGTTTGCTTTTCTTCCCCATGGCACCCTGCTGTCCATAGGCTAGTTTGTTTATAGACTCTGTCTCAGTTTGGTTTCTCTGATATAGACTCATGATCAGAGTCAGGGTTCATTCTGGTAGGCACAATTCAGGAGTGGTATCAATATTTTCAGTGCATCTCATAAAAGCATCCAAAATCAGCTAGACTTTAAATGTCGTTTCTGGCTGGGAGGTGGTGGCGCACGCCTTTAATCCCAGCACTTGGGAGGCAGAGACAGGCGGATTTCTGAGTTCGAGGCCAGCCTGGTCTACAGAGTGAGTTCCAGGACAGCCAGGGCTATACAGAGAAACCCTGTCTCGAAAAATAAAAAAATAAAATAAAATAAATAAAATAAAATAAATGTCGTTTCTGGATATGTGAATGAAAGTGCAGCAAGTCAACCAAGATTCTATAAGCCATGCTCACGTTCAGCATGTTTGCCTCGTAAAACGACTTGGCTGATAGCCTGTGATAAGCACCGACCGTGTGGCTTGCCTCTGCTAGATGCACCAGCTGCTCAACGTGTTGAAGAGAGAACAGAGCATTTACAACACAGTGTTTCATGAACTGATTCGACAGGTCAGTGTGGACTGCATAGACAGAGGAGAGCTGCTGTCAAGAATCAGGTTAGAACTATTAATGGAATGTTCCAGGTTCCCCTCTTCAAAAGTTGTATAATTATTAGTACATATTAATTATACAAGTTGATAGGATTCTATACTGTTGCTATACACATCTTTTAAAACATGCTTGAGTGAGTTCGAGGCCAGCCTGATCTACAAGGTGAGTTCCAGGACAGCCAGGGCTACACAGAGAAACCCTGTCTCAGAAAAAAAAAATGTGCTTGAATTGTGCTTGTATATACTTTTAAGGAAGCTACAAACATATCTCTATGGAACCAACTTTTGTTTAGTGTTTGGTTTTAATTTCTATAGTAAAATGCTCATTTTGGCATAAGCTCTGGGTAAAAGTCCAAGCCTTTGTTCTTTCATCTGAGTGAAGAAAACCGCCACTGGGAAGGTTCCTATGCTCCTAGCCACTCATACACCAGTGGTTTCGCTGAGTGCCTACTCTGTCAAGTACTGAGATGTTTGACAGGACAGTGGAAAGGTCTAACTGATTAGTTATTGAAACAGAGTTTCATGTAGGGCAGGCTAGCCTCAAACTTGTTATATAGCCAAGATTGGCCTGGAACTCCTGGGATCGATGTGGTGGAATTTAAATGAGAACACAGAGCTGAGTGGCCCCAGGCCCAGAGGGTAAAGTGCTTGCCACGCAAGCCTGGTGACCTGAAATCCACAACAGAAGGAGAACCAACTCCAGAGAGTTGCCCTCTGATCTCCACATGTGCCATGTCACCTTCATACCCGTGAGTACACACAGCCCTGTCTCAATGACTAGGTTAAATTTAAAAAGGAAAGGAGAAATAGGTGCTCATTATATGTAGTTATTAATGGTGAAAATGATAAATACTATTATTACTATAAAAATCCTTCTTCTTTGTTTTTTTTTAAAGATTTTTTTTATTTATATGAATACACTGTAGCTGTTTCCAGACACACCAGAAGAGGGCATCAGATACCTTTACAGATGGCTGAACCATCATATGGTTGCTGGAAATTGAACTCAGGACCTTTGGAAGAGCAGTCCGTGCTCTTAACCACTGAGCCATCTCTCCAGCCCTATGAAAATCCTTCTTATAACTTTGGTTCTGTCCAAAAAGCTGAAAGAATGCAGTGGCCAAATAGTATGTCTGTATTTCATTTTCTCTAGAACTGGGGGACTGCTTTCTGAATGGTCCTTCTTTTCTTCTTTTCTTTTTAAAATACAGGATTTACTATGTAGTCCTGGCTGGCTGGGCAGTTGTTATGTAGAGCAGGCTGGCCTCCAACCTACTGTTAAATATGCACTAAATTCTCTTTTTGAGTCAGGATCTCACTATGTAGACCAGGCTTTCCTTGAACTCACAAAGATCTATCTTCTGGTGTGTGGGAGGTACTGGGATTGAAGGCATGCACCACCATATTCAGCCCATCAATTTCTTTTTAAAAAATTATTACTATTGTGTATGTGTGTATCATGTGTGTATGAGGGCACAAGGAGGTCAGAGGTCAACTTTGCAGGGTCAGTTCTCTCCTTCCACTGAACCCGAGTCACAGGGTTGGTGTGGCAAGAGCCCTTACCCTCTGATCCACATCTCGGGCCCAGCAAGCTTTTCCTCTAAAGCGAGTTATCTGTGAGTTTCCTCCTCCTGCTGGCTGACTGGCCTGGGAAACTAGAAGCAAGGCCATTAGATACTGGTTAGGGTTAGAAGGAGAGGAGTCTGTGAGGAGCACCAGGCTGGAGTAAGAGCAGGACAGCAGCCCGCGCAGGCAAAGCCCCAAGCAAAGCTGAGAGTGGTGAGACAGAAGTACAGGACAGAGACGAGAGCAAAAGTAAGAGCTGCTTTGAATGAGAGCATCTTAACTTCTCTTAAATAGCTGGTGTTTTTTTACGTTTAGTCAGTTTGAGGAAAATGTCATCTATGAGTTCAACTATATAAAGTCTCACTCTACTCAAGGTACCTCTATTAATATAAAGAGAGATTTGTGACACAGTTCCTCTCTCAAAAGAGATTATAATTTAGAACTAAAAGACATCCTTATTTTTGTTTTCTGTCTCAGATATTATCTATATTTGTAATAGCCATGCCTTGTTTTAGGTTCATTTTCTGTGTCCTGGGTTCCACCCTGCCTATTAGCTCCCTCTGTCTTTCCTCCAGAGAGAAGTATGTGCAAATGCTTGACCATATCGCCCGGCAGATGATTGAATTTTACAAAGACCTGGTGACTCAGCGCTTGATGGACCAGCGCATCTTACAAGAACTGTATAACTTCAAGAACGTGATCGAGGAATTGACCAGGTGAAAACTTTGAGGCTCCTCGACACAAAGCAGAAGCCTTGTCCTTACCTGTAGTAAATGATAAGGCCGGGGAGGAGTGGTGAACGGCTAGGGCTCCTTTGCCTTCAGTGCTTAGCAAGAAAACCAGGAGACCTGGGCCCTGCTGGTGGAGAGACAGAGAAAGGGTTACTCATCGTAACGGAAAGCCAACATTTTGCCTGTATTAGTTAGAGAACAGCCTGCTCCACATTATAGATACATATTTCCAGAGCGCTTCCATGACTGAAGATGCTAGTGTTTAAATTCCAAAGAAAATAAAGATAATATATCAAGTAAGGTTACTGGGCTAACCTGGAGTCAAGATGACCAGTGGCAAGAATGAAGAGCCCAGGCTAGAAAGGACAAAGCAGGGTACAGCATCTGCCCCTGCTGTGTTCTAAAAGATGTGCCTGCCACCCCTTTCCTGTCAGCCCAAGTCTATTGCCAAACCAGACGAGATTCCATCTAGGATGTACCCTGGAGGTTTTTTGGTTTGGTTTACAGGGTAGAAAATGAAGGGACAGACACACAGTAACTGAAATTATGTGTAAATCTGATTTGTAGGGGAGAAAGTTTTTGGAAGTTTCTAACTTTGAGTTTGAAAAAAAATTTTTTTTTTGTTATTCTTTTTCTTTTTTCAGGGAACTTTGTCTGGTTCGGGCTCATGACAGGAAATTAACACAGGAAGCAGAGACAGTCCAGAAGAACCTGGCAGAAGCTCTTTTGGAAGCAGAAAAGAATGCCAAGTGAGTTGGTAACCTTTATACTGCGTGATAACGGACCAGGCCTCAGCTGGCCGGTCTGTAAAGCTCCTGCTGCTGTGTCACCTGCTTCTTAGGGCTGCTAGGGAGGGTCATGTGACAGTGCAATGGAGCCCCTCAGCTCTAGGTCAGTGCCAGCTGATGAAGGCGCATGGGGCATGCAGCGTTTGTGTCCTGCCCTTGACTGTTCTGGTACTCTAACGGCACAGGGCACAAAGGCAGACAGTTGTGACAGGAACCATATCTGTGTCTGTCCCTAAAACACAATGACAGCATTAATGTGGCAAAGCTATATTATGAAAGTATTGCTTGTATTCTAAGAGACGGGGACTTTTGTTGGACCTCACAGCCAGAGTCAGTAACTCTTGAGGCCACTTAAGGCTGGTATCGCTCTGTCTACTCAGCCTGCTAGTTTAACCTGCCTTTAAGAGAACATACAACAGTCAACCTCACTTGCCTTGGATTTCCTGTGTAGTGAACATTTACAGCTTAAGCCAATGTACAGCTGTAATCTTAAATTATGTACTCCTCCATGCCTGTGATCCAGAACAATGCATACGTGTTATGATATCATTTGCTGGACTCAAAGCCCCACCCCTACTGACACAAGGCCACACCCACTCTGACAAGGCCACTCCTCTCAATAGTGCCACTATTATGTCCAAGCATCCAAACTTATGAGGCTATGGGGGCCATTCAAAGCACCACAGTCACTTTGTAACTTCTGTGGTTGGTCTTTCATCACATGTATTGATTGATTGATTGATTGATGGATGGATTGATTAGGGTGTGTGTATGTGTGTGTGTATGTGTGTGTGTATGTGTGTGTGTGTGTGTTGTGTATGTATGTGTGTGTATGTGTGTGTATTCTGGGGGTTGAACTTGGATTGTCAGGTTTGGCAGCAGGCTTACCTTCTGAGCCATCCTGCCAGCCCCAACAACTTCTGTTTGGCTAAACTCAGAGTGCTTTTAATCCTGAGAGACAATGGTGTAAACCAGAAGAGAAAGGTATGTTCTGCCAGACACAAAAACCACAATAAGAAAGAGGGAGTGATGAAGTACTGTGGCTGAAAGCAATGAGGGGACAAAGGGTTAATTTGTCCCACAGATCCTAAATACAGCCTATTGAGGGAAGCCAAAGCAGGAACTCAAACATGGCAGGACCCTGGAGGCAGGAACTGATGCAAAGGCTATGGAGGGTTTGTTGCTTACTGGTGTACTACTCTTGGCTCATTCAGCCTGCTTTCTTACAGCACCCAGGACCATCGGCCCAGGGATGGTTCCACCCATAATGCACTGGGCCATCCCAATTCCTAATTAGGAAAATGCCCCTATAGGCCTGCCTATAGCCCTATCATATGGAGCATTTTCTCAATTGAGGTTTCCTCTTCTCAGATGACTCTAGCTTGTGTCAAGTTGACATAAAAACTAACCAGGACAAAATACTTAGTTACACATAATCTTGAGCTAATTATCAAGTTAAAAATTTTAGTACCTTACTGTTTATTAGGCTTCAGGCCTTTAATAAGGAATCCTAACCAACGATCAAAGAAGATTAACAATAAAACTACTGAACTATTATTTACATTCTAAATTTTTAAAAACTTCAAAAGCTGTGTGTGATAAATGTGAGTGATTGTGTGTGTGTGTGTGTGTGTGTGTGTGTGTGAGAGAGAGAGAGAGAGAGAGAGAGAGAGAGAGAGAGAGCACGCACGCATGCGCACACATGCATACGCATGTACATGTGCAGAAGCGAGAGGACAACTTACAGGGTTAGTTTTTGTCCTCCACTCTGGTTGAGCCAGGGGGGTGTCTCTTATTTCTGTCACTGTGCTAATTACTCCATGGTATCTACTGAGCAAACTTCCAGGTAGTTCTGCTTCTGGTCTCACTTTCAGCATGTTAAGATTAGATGCATGCTACTACAATCTGGCTTTTTAATGTTGTTCCTGGAGACCTGAACTCTGGTAGACCACCAGGCTTGCAAGGCAAGTGTTTTTATCCACCCAGCCATCTCTTGGGGATTACTCTGAAGTTTTCATTGGATACAATAGACTTACTACTTTTTTTTTTTATCATGACTATCATATTTGTAAATAAGATGTAAACTTTTAAATTTTCACTCTAAAAAGTGTTACCAATATATACAGCAAATATGCCACTATTACCTTATGAAGAAGCTTGAAGGAAAAGGACGCTTATTTTCATAACAAAATATTTATGGTGTCTACATAGGTACTTCTTACTTTTCTTTCAGGATAGTAGAAGACTACCATGACTTATACACATTGCAGAGAGGAAGGATGGAGGCTGACATTCAACTGTTAATGACTGAAAGAGACATTTGGAGCTCAGCCACATATGAACTGGCCCTAAAGGTTTGTTCATCTGCATTTGTAATTCAGACTTCTATATTGACTGAAGTTTCATTTGACAATTTTGTTTTGTTTGAAACATGGTTTCTCTGTGTATCCCTGGCTGTCCAAGGACTCATTCATGTACTAGACTGGCCTCAGACTCACAGAGATCTGCCTGCCTCTGCTTCTGCCTCCTGAGCTTTGGGAATAAAGGTGTGCATCACCACTGCCCAGACTATTTTATAGTTTTTCAAAACACACACACACACACACACACACATACACACACACACACACAAAGGGTACAAGAAGGAGGTGCATATTTATTGATGAATATCATAGGTTTTGTGGGCATTGAAGATGGAGAGTTTCTTCCCTCTGTTTGTAACTAGCTATTATACAATTTGGGTTGGGTTTTTTTCTTTAACCAGAACTTATAAACCATTACTATAAATTTTTTTGTTTGTTTTGGGATTATATTAAAACTTATAAATGTAATGCATACCAATTTATAGATAAAATGTACACTAATTCCCCAGAAAAGGTAGTATGGCTACTGAATACCAATTCTAATGTTTATAAAGGGGAACTCTTACTTTTTTGTCTCATGTAACCATATTAGGGTCCTTGGATGTCATGTCACACTGGCTATAGTACCTTGGCCAGTAAATTAAATAAGGGAAACCCATAGACATGGCAGCAATGTGGTGGTAGCAAATTCTACAATATTCTACACTTCAAAATGTGTATGTGTTGGCTCTGTATTTTGATACTAAGGACCAATAGGAAACACACACACACACACACACACTCTCACACAAAACTGGATCCAACTGGATTGGTTCAAAATTCTACTTGTGGCAGGTCACCGGGCTCTCTGTGGAGACAGCCAGCATGGTGGATCTGAACAAAAGTACTCTTTAGTACTCCACCATGTGGAGTTTGTCAGGGCTCGGATGAAAATGCACAAGAAATTCCTATCAAAATGGACAGATGTTCTAAACTGAGAGAGAGAGGGAGAGAGAGAGAGAGAGAGAGAGAGAGAGAGAGAGAGAGAGAGAGAGTATTTTATAATACTGAGGTGAGGAAGTCCTTTTGTAACCATGACATGAAAGGAAACCTTGAAATTAAAATGTTCCATAAGATAACAGTTACCAGAAACAAAAATATATAACAGACTAGATGAAAATGTTGATACATACATATGTATATATACGTATATATACATGTATATAATGGCATATATATTTTTTAATCTTGAAATACTTATATTTGATTTAAAAATTTAGTGACTTGCAGGTTATTAGGCTTTAGGCCTTTAATTATGTATACATATATATACAGTTAATAAAACTAAATTAATCTAATGGACACACTTTAAAATGAAAAAATAAAGCAATATGAACAGATCCTTCAGAGTAAAAAGTTCAAGTGGCTAATAAATAAATAAAAATTTCCCAGCATCACTAATCTGTAAAATGAAGAGAAATTAGATCATATGGCTTACCATAGTCACAGCCATTAAACAGATGATAAACGTGGGTGCTTTCATATACCTCAGAGGGCAGTACACTGCGCACAACCTTTGTGGAGATTTATTGGACAACAATATGCATAGACTTGTTAAGATAGCTTGACATGGGATTTGATTTCCAGCTTAATGATGCTGTGAAATATGGACAGAATCAAAACTGTGCTTCAAAATTTGACTTTTGATCTAGTCTTACAACATACAACACAATGTCTGTACAGTAGGGTCCTCTTTCAGTACAGCTCTTAGTTGTACCGTATACTTAGTTGTATACAATACTTGGTCACTACAATAGTCAATACAATGTATTGTGCAGTACTTTTTCCTTAGTCTGGGCAGCTGCAGTGAGCAGCAAGTAGCAGCAGTTCCTAAGAGCCATAAGATGCTGAGAGGATGCAGCCCATACTCTGCAGTGCACTAAGTTGCTAGGCTACAATGTATTTGGTAGATTAACTGTGTCTATGTATTTTCAATTTATTATGAGTTTATTTGGATGTAACCCCATAGAAAGGTGAGAAGAATTGGTAATTTAAATCTTTGGCTCTTTAACCAAGAAATTCCATTGATAAAAATACATTCCTGAGTAATACTAGTACAAGTGAATAAAATATGGATATTAATTTTGATATTACTTATGGTTACAAAAATATTGAAATAGCATAAATAATCCACCAGCAAGGGAATAAATTGTAGTTATCTAAACAAAAGATAACTGTGATGGTATATGCTTTCAGACCCAGTGCTTAAGAGGTAGAGGATCAGAAGTTCAAAATCATTCTTAGTTACATAGCAAGTTCAAGGCCAGCCTGGGCTACCTGAGACAGATGGCCCTGCAGGGAAAGGGACCTGCCAGTGAGCCTAATGACTTGAGTTTGATACTCAGGTCCCACAGAGTGGAAGGAGAGAACCAACCCTTCAGATTCTTCTGTGGTGGCACAAGTACATGCACAATCAATAAGTAAAAATTAAATAAAACAACATCAATAAAAATTGTTATGGACATGGAAAGATGGTTACAAGTGAAAAAGTAAGTTTTAGAATAATATATTGCAAATATACATTTATACATAGTATTACAAGTATAAAATATATTTTTTTAAAAAAGATTTGTTTATTTATTTATATGAATACACTGTAGCTGTCTTCAGACACACACTAGAAGAGTACATTGAATCACATTACAGATGGTTGTGAGCCATCACGTGGTTGCTGGGAATTGAACTCAGGACCTCTGGCAGAGCAGTCAGTGCTCTTAACCACTGAGCCATCTCTCCAGTTCCATAAAATATATTTTCAATTAAGACTATCTTATGAACATAATAATTATGTACATGTAATCAATATATCTATTGATGAAACACAAGACTAATCACACTGATTTTTTTGTTATGAGCTGAAATTTATTGTTGAGAATTTTGTAATTTTACTTTAAAACTTATATATTGTTTGAGTTGATTTTTAACAATTATGTATCAGGATTTTTTTAAACTAAAGAAGGTTATTTTTCATTTTATAGTAAACTTTGAGCACCTGTTATGCATCAGACATCTGCCATGTCCTGGGTGGTGAGACAAAAATAGGACAAATTTGCTACTTTTGTTTATTAGTTTTTATATTATTTGCTGCATGTATATGGAGGCCAGAAGATAACTTTTGGGAGTTCTCTGTCTCTACTGTGGGATCTTGGGATGGAACTCAGGCTGTCAGGCTTGTGTGTAGAACTCGCTTACCTGCTGAATCATCTCTTTGTCTCCCAAAGTTACTGCTCTTAAAAACTTAAAAAGAGTCAAGTATCTTGTCAGTCAAGAATACTAGTCTTTGTTGGACATGGCAGTGCTCACGTTTAACCCCAGCACTTGGCAGCAGAGGCAGGCAGGTCCCAGTGAGTCTGAGGCCAGCCTGGTCTACAGAGTGAGTTCCAGGACAGGGCTGCACAGTGAGGCTCTGCCTTGAAAAAAACAAACAAACAAGAACAAATAACAGCAACAGCAGAGGGGGGAAGAGCAAGAGCGAGCGAGGGGGGGGAAGGAAAGAGACTGTAGACGGGAGGAGTGGGTCAGAGGTTACAGAGGGGGAGGGTAATGAGGGAGAAGGAAAAAGTCCCAAAGCCTTGGTTCCAACATTAAATTTTCCAGTGCTTTTTTTCTCTTCAAAGTACATTTGGTATTTTTTCCTTTACTTGCTCTTTTTTCATTATAGACCTGTATGGGCTTAGGTGTGATTACTAACGATTGCATGACAGAGTCAATATTAGGCTGTCTTGAAATAGTCTCTATCAAAGCATTTAGTAAATTACTTATAAATTTAGCCTCAGGCAAATTCTTAGGGCAAGAACAAAAAGAAGCCATAGACTTTGCCAAAACATCACAAGAATATTCTCTAGTCTGGTTTTAATACTGTTTCCTCCTGAAACTTCTTAAGCAATACCTCTACAGTCCACATTGCTCTCAGCACTCTGTTGGCCAACCTCCTGCTACAATGGCCCACTAAGTTCTGTTTCTAGCAGTCAACTTCTCTTCTAGTCCAAAGTCCTAAATTCTTCCACATTCCTCAAAACAAAACAACAACAAAACCCACAGTCGTATCAGTCACAGCAATAACCCACCTCCTGGCACCAACTTCTCTCTTAGTTGCTTTTTTATGGCTATCAGATGCCATGACCATGACAACTTAGGAAAGAAATCATTGAATTGGGCTTATCATTTTACAGGGTTAGGGTCCGTGATGGTGGAGCAGAGGGATGGTGGTAGGAACAGCTGAGCACCTCCCATCCTGATCCAGAAGCAGGAGGCAAAGAGAGGGTACACAGGGAATTGTGCTAGTCTTTTGAGACTTCAAAGCCTGCCCCCAGCGATATACCTCCTCCAACAAGGCCACACCTCCTAATCCTTCCCAAACAGTTCCAACAACTGGGGAACAAGTGTTCAGACCTATGAGTCTATGGGAGCCATTTTCACTCAAACCAGCACATCTGTCACACAGAGGACCGTGTCATCTGCAGTAGGGACACTTTGACATCTTTCTTTTATCTCTTCCCTTCCGTTACTGCTCTAGCAAAGACTTTATCCATTATATTGAATAAGGGTAGTGATGGTATATGATGTGTGCGTGTGCATGCGTATGTGTGTGCGTGTGTGTGTGTGTGTGTGTGTGTGTGTGTGTGTGTGTGAAAAGGGAGTGCTAATAGTAGCACAGTGGGTTGTGCAGGGGTTGGGGGCGGTTGTCTTGGGCATAGTCTGCCCACCATCCAGGGCTTTCTCAAATCCAGTTCTCTCCTTGCTGTAGGAACACCGTGGGAACAGCAGTGTACTATTACACCAGCTTTCCCTGGGTTCTTGGTATCTGAAGTCAGGTCCTCACATTTATCTACTTTTATTTTTCTTGACAATTTTCAGGTATGCTATCATTATCTTTGTGAAATTCAGAAGCTTTCCTCTCTATTAGGATTAGTCTGAATTTTCTTTATCTGGATAGCAGCTTGTGGTCTTCCATCTTGCCCATGTGTCTTGAACTGTTATGTACTTCCAGTTCAATAGTTTTAGAAATATATAAATTTATGATGCAAATTACTTAATTATTAAACTAGGAATTTTTGATTGAAGTAATACTGATAAAAATTGATACATAAAAATGTTAAAAGTAAATTTTAGTGTTTAAAAATGTTTTGGGTTTCTGATTATAACACACTTTTTTTTTTAATAGGTAATTGAAAGAAATAAAGTCATACTGGCCAAAAAACTCTACCTTAGTGAAAAAGGCTGGAATAAATATGCTAAGCATTTCATTATAATGCTGTCAACTAAGGTAAATCCCAGTTTACTTAAGTCATGGGTAAGATGATGCACATGTTATGTGTTGAAGCCTTAGGCTTGGCTTTGCCAAATCTATAGATTCCTAAGTACAGTCCTATACTTAATGCTTTATTGGGGGAGAATGAGAAATACGAGGGAAGGGAAAAGGGGTCTTAATTACATTGCCTTCCATAGTAATAAAAAATACACCTAAATTTAACAACACTCCAGAGCTATTAATTTTTTTAGTGTTTAAGCTAAAATAGAAGTAAGAGGTGGTGGTTGGGTTGTGATCATGCCTGTAACCTCAGAACTCAGGAGGCTGAAGCAGGAGGATCACAAGTTTGAGGTTAGCCTGAGCTACAGAGAAAGAGAAAGATGAGGAGGAAGAGGAAGAAGAAGAGGAAGAGGAAGAAGAAGGAGACATTACTGATACATTCTTAAATAATTTTATGAGAAAATGTATTGATCTCCAATGGAGAAAATGAACTGGCACTTAGTGCATTTTTCACCAAGTCAAACCACTCACACCCGTGAGCCATTAGACCCCTCCCTTTTGAACATAGCAAACACAGATATTATTAAGGAAATTTAAGAAAGAACTCTGGAGAGTAGGAGGGGCTCTAGGGAGGAACACTTTCCATTCATTTGACTATTTTTGTTTAACATTTATTTTTAAATTTAGTATGTGTGTGTGCCTGTGTGAGTTTGTGTACCCTGTGTGCAGATGCTCCAGGCCACTAGAGGGCATCAGATCCCCTGGAACTGCAGTTACAGGCTCTTGTGACTCGCCCCGCGTGCAGGGTGCTAGGAACAGAACTCCATATCAACCCTCCGCAGATTAGTAAGCATTCTTAACTACCGAGTCACTTCTCCAGCTCCTGTCACCTAACTGTTAAAATAATCCGCTATCTAGTAGGGTCTTTATTTTATGGATAATAAATATAAACTTTAGATTAAATAATGTCACTGTCTAGAATTCACATTTGGTTTTGCCTGGCTTTTCAGTTCCTATCCTTGCCTGTGCAAAAATCCTGTGGGGAAAAATCCTGTGAGGTAACTAGGTTCATGTTGCAAAGGAAAAATCCTTGTTCTCAATAACATGCAGCACAGAAAACCATTACCATAATGGTGTTTAAGAAAAAAACATCTTCTCAACCTTTGACCCCCCACTTCCTGTGAATTCTTTAAGTAATTCATCATTAATAAAGGCCTGGTACATGTCAATCAATGTTTGTTACACAAATAAGTGAATACCTTGATTCTGTGCATTTTAGGACACTGGAGACCTTGGAATGGTGGAGAAGTTGACAGAAAAATGGAAAAAGTTAGTAAACAAATTTAAGCAGGATGTGGAACGCACGGAGGAGGCTTTAAAAGAGAAGTCACAAGTGGTGAAGACTGGGATCCTCAAGTGGCAGCAGTTCTTCAGTAACAACATGTGGGTCTGCAAGACTCTTGCTTTTCTGATCTTATTACATTATGTTTGGTAACTCAGCCAACCCTGTCATTAATTACTAACACAGAGTTTGGGAGAGGTAAGAATATTCATTACTGGCCCAGAGTGATGCTTTTCATACAGACCTTGAACACAGGTCTTTTCCAGGGTTAAACATCTGTGGGGGGCCCTCCTGATCTTCCTGCCAAGCTGCTGCTGCTTTCTCTTCACTCTTTGATCTGCCTGTCTCCCTCTCTCCCTCCCTTCCTCTCTCCCTCTCTCCCTCCCTCCCTTTCTCCCTCTCTCCCTTTCTCCCTCCCTCCCTCCCTCCCCTTCCCTCTCTCTCTCCCTCCCTCCCTCTCTCCCTCCCTCCCTCCCTCCCTCCCTCCCTCCCTCCCTTCCTCCCTCCCATGGGTCTCCCTGCCTGCCCTCATGGACCATGGGCCTATACAGTCCAGAGGGCAGTGGGAGCCCTCAAATCTGAACTCAAATTTTCTTCCAGGACAGTGGTGCCAATGTCCCCCACCCCAGGTTACTATGCCATATCATGGCCAGTTCTCATGGTGGAAACACCTGAATGGAAAAGGCAGAAGCTGCATTAGCACAGTGGTCAAGGTGCTGAGAGAGAGCCAGCTACAGGTCAATCTCTGAGCATAGACATCCCTTCCTTCCTCCTCTGTCTTCTGTCATCACAGAAGTTGAAGGCCCAAGTAGGTTGCAGTCTGTGAGTAAAAGTTATGGGCATGGTTGTACCTCAGCATCAGTGTAATTTTGGATAAGGTAGAGGCAGAACACATTTCCATAAACATAGGGCTGGGAAACCCTATGTTTAGGTACTGTGAATAAACCACACTGGGACCACTATCAGGAGGCAGATCAACTTTACTTAGGGTGATTCAAGGCTTATAAAGTTTTAGGGGACTGAGGGCAGGGACATTCAGGATGGGCAAAGGTCATGGCTGGGGCTTAGGGTACTAGGAATGCCTCATTAGCATGGGGAAGCATTTCAGGAATCTCAGGTGCTGGCTGAACAGGTTTTGTCAGGAGAAAGGAAACTGATCCTATAAATTAATTGAGGCTATATGACATTCCTCAGGTAGAGACGAGTATAGGAGCTTAGAATACCCAGACAAGGTCAGAGAAGGAGAAAAACGTGGCCGTGGCCGTGGTGGATTTCAACCTTCATTAGCATTTCCCCACACTTCTTGCTTCCTTTCTCCCTTCCTTCCCTCCTCCCTCATCCTCCCTCCTCCTTGTACTCCTTATTCTTCCTCCTCCTCTCCCCCTTCCCCCCATTTCTAGAGCTGCTTGGAGATCTCCATGCCCAGCTCCAAAATCATTTTCCTCTCTTCTCTGTCTTTCTCCAGTCAGCAGCTGTTGAGAATTTCAGGTTACTTGCTTGTTTTTCATCCAAGCTGTAATAAAATGATCTTCAAGCATCAAAAAAGACATTATTTTGTTGTTTAAAAAGATTAAACAAATAGCCAGGCAGTGGTGGTTCATGCCTTTAATTCCAGAGGCAGAGGCTTATGGATCTCTGAGTTTGAGACCAGCCTAATCTACAGAGGAAGTTCCAGGGCAGCCAGGTTTACACAAAAAAAAACCCTGTCTTGAAAAACAAACAAACAAAATAGTAAACAAATAAAAAATAAAAATATAAAAGAATACAAATAAAATGTCAGAGAACTGGAAGAAGCTGAGACACCTCACAGACTGCTGCCTTAATTATTCGCTAGGCTTCCTGTCTGTTCCTACAATGTTTGGCAGTTGTACTCAGCAGGAATTCTTATGAACACCTCAGTCTTGGTTTATCAAAACCAGAGCTTACTCTTTAAAGAGATACCCTGAAGGCTTCAAGCCCCGTAACTTGGTTAGTTAGAATCAGAAATTTGTTATTTCTAATTGTGAACTCGAAGAGGAAGACTCCTGAGGAGAGGCTGGGCCCGGAGGCCATGCTGAAAGACTGCAGAGGTGAAAAGGTCATGCTGCCGTTCACGTGCGAACGTGAGGTTTTCCCTGCGTATACCTCTTTCCGAGACTTTTCTTGCTCTTTTCTTCTTCCAGTGAAAAAGATGTTATAGTCCCTAATAAGAGAAGCCCGTTCGCTGTAGCCCTTAATGACTTCAGGGAGTTTCAAAAGGTAAGACTTTCTCAAAACAGTCTGGTAGTCCATTGGCCGCAGCGAGTGCCAGTGCCAGCTCTTACCCACAGCCGAGCCGCGCGCCAGCCTTTAAAACGCTGTGTCAGGTTGACGATGAGTGACAGAATGAGGAAACAGCCTGTAAAACAAGGTCAAACATTTTTCAGTTGTTCTGTTTCTGATTTGCAGGCTAAATGAACTTGTGCTGTGTGGTGAGAGGACCTCTGACTTTTAGTCAGATTCCCATTTATATCATTTCTGCCCTCCTTGAATATAGCTTTTGTGTAAAGGACAAATGGGACTTTTAAAACTAATTAATTTTTATAAAGCATGAGAAAATATACATAACATAAAGTTTTGCATTTTAACCACTAAAGTGTATAGGCCAGTGGCATGGCCCGTAATCACACTGCTACATGTGCCAGCTTTCCAATGGAAGTGCTACTCATTAGACAGTAACTCCTAGTGTTTGCTTTCCCTCAGCCCCCGGCAAGCATAATTCTACTCTCTGTGAATTTGATGATTCTAGTATTTGTCCATTTATGAATGGCTAATTTCCCTCAGTATATTCCCTTCAAGGTTCATTCATGTTTCAGGATTGACTCCCTTTTTAAGGCCAAGCTGTATTTTATTGTGTATGTGTAACATACACAACGTATATATACACAATGTATAATATACACAATAAAATGTGTATATTATAGTTTATGTGTGTATTATAGTTCCACACATTATTAAGATGACTTTTTTAAAGTTTCAAGCTTTGAAAATAAATTATATTAATTAAGTCACCATTATGATAGCCAGGGATGTGTTATAGTACTACTGACCCTGACACATGCAAGGCCCTGGTTCAAGCCTCAGTAACACACACACACACACACACACACACACACAATGTATAACGGCATTGAATTCATGTAAGAAGGAATATCAAATTCATGACCTAATGAAATCTCATACAGATCTCAAGAAATGATTTGTATGCATGCGTGCTCTTGAGACTAGGACTTGAGTATCCCTTTCTGATCTTGAACTCACGATGTGGCCAAGAGCACACTGGAGTTCCTCACAGCACTCTTGCCGTCTGGTACTGGGATTACAGATGCACACCACTGCCTCCTCATTTTGCCAAGTCATTTTGGAATGACTTGATTGTAATCGTTTTAGGACTGAGGATGTCAGCGCTCCCTGGTGGTCTAGTGGTTAGGGCTGAGGATGTCAACACTCCCTGGTGGTCTAGTGGTTAGGGCTGAGGATGTCAGTGCTCCCTGGTGGTCTAGTGGTTAGGGCTGAGGATGTCAACGCTCCCTGGTGGTCTAGTGGTTAGGGCTGAGGATGTCAACGCTCCCTGGTGGTCTAGTGGTTAGGACTGAGGATGTCAGCGCTCCCTGGTGGTCTAGTGGTTAGGACTGAGGATGTCTACCTTTCTATATATAGAAAATTTTAGGGATTTATTTGGCAGTTTTGGCATGTATAGATAAAACTGAAAAGTACTTTACTAGGAATAATAATAATTCTTATTTTGTTTATTAAAGACTCTGTCAGGCTGAACATACAGTCCACACATCATCTTATTCTTTCTGACAGCTCAGGAGTGAGGTTTAATGATTCCCACCTCACACATTCCGAAGCTGGAGCTTAGGAAGGTAGTTACGTGCGTTGCCCATCGATGGCAATCATCAGAGTGAGCATTTCAGTGTCTCTAACCCCAAACTCTTACAAGAAGTAGACAGACAATGACGACAACCCATGAGCCTCCAGAATGCCAGGGAGTCATGGAGGACGGATGATGAGGCAGACTGTGATTAATAATAATAATGTGATATAATAAATCTAATGATATTAATTCATATTAAATATGATAATATAATAATAGATACAATAATAATACTCTTCTCTCTGCTTCACTTTTTAGATGATGGATGAGGAGAAAGAGAAGTTTACAGGGGATTTTCTGTTGTCAAGATATGATACTCTCAAAGTGATTAAACGCTTACAGGAAAACTGGTCAGACATAGGGTTTGGGATACTTAGTCGCCATAAAAGTATGGATGGGTTGTTGCCACCAGAGCACGAGTACATGGAGGAAATGATAAAAAACATAAGCAAATTCTACAGAGAATACGAAATAAGAATAAATGGTGACCATGGTAAGCAAAACAAAGAAAATGAAATGAATACCACTAAAATTCAAAGAGTTCGTTAGAAATGAAAATCTAAAATTTAAGTATAAGCTGTCACAGTTTTATTAAGCAAAATAAAGCATCGAGTACCATTTTTTTCTGAGATATAGTTTAATATATATAACATGAATCACATGTTTAAAGTGTGAATTCGAAATACACAGGCTTGCGCACCTATCACCAGTTGAGTTTACAAAATGTGTTACACTTTACTAGGAGTCCTTTATCCTGTACGTCTCATTTCCTACCCTCCCTCATGCCTACCCTATTTCTAGATCTCCTTCCTGTCCCATGCAGTTTCACTTGGGCTTTTCATAGGAATGAGAAATGGGTCTTGTAGCCTTTCGTGCTTCTTTACATGGCACCATGACGTTCCTGTCTGTATTTACAGCATGCACCAGTCTTTAAGCCTGCCCTCCCCTGATTTTGAGGCAGGGTGTCTCTATGTGGCCCTGGAGGTCCTGAGATGCCTATATATACCAGAACCTTGAACCCTCATTGTCATCTTCTTCTCCTTCTTCTTCTTTTTTTTAAGATATGACTTAGCCTCTAACATGTAGTCTTCATGTCTCAGCCTCCAAGTGCTGGGATTACAGTCATTTGCCACCATGGCTGGCCTTCCATCATTTTTATGACCAAATAGATAGTATGAAAATATCTGATTTTGTATATATTCCCAACTGTAGATAGACATTTGGATTTGTCCCTCTTTTTTGTCTTCATTTCTCTTGGAGGGAACACTTGGCTTTTTGACTCTGTGTTTAGCTTTCTGAAGACTGCTATACCATTTCTGAGGTAGACACAGTTTTATATTCTCAGGAGCAATTATGAAGCTCTGACCGTTCTGCTTCCTTGGTACCACTGTGGCCATCTCACCATGACAGTGGGTGTGACATACTGTTTCATCATGCTCCTGATAATGAAGGAGATCAAATTTTTTTATGAGTCTTCTTAGCCATCTGTCTACCTTCGTTGGGAAAGTACCTTTTTAGATTGCTTGCTTGCCTGTGTGTGTGTGTGCACATGTGTGTGTGAGTGTGTTGTCTGTTTACGATTAAGTCACAAGAGCTCCTTTATTCTAGGCATCTCTCGGACAGTTAGCTGTTCAGATCCTTTTTTGGTTTTTCGAGACAGGGTTTCTCTGTGTAGCTCTGGCTGTCCTGGAACTCACTCTGTAGACCATTCTGGCCTTGAACTCAGAAATCCACCTGCCTCTGACCCCCAAATGCTGGGATTAAAGGCGTGTGCCACCACTGCCCGGCTGTTCAGATCCTTTAATTACTGTTCACGTTATATATTTTCCTTCCTTCAACTAGTGCTTATGAGATGACGTGCTCTCAAGAGTGTTTAACTTTTAGCCCTTAAGTAAGCTAAGAGCAGGAGATGAAAGTGGCCCTAAAAGTGGGATATATCCATATTCATCAGATTAGGTGTTTTGTGGAAGATGGTGATACATCTTTTTGCACTAAGAAAGCATAGATGTTGGGGAGCTAGCTCAGTGTGGGAAGCGCTCTCTGTATTGCATCCGCATCTGAGTTCACATCCCCAGCACCCAAGTTAAAAAGCTAAGTATGGTGATGTGTGCTTTTAATCCCAATGCTGGGGTCCTCCAGGATCCCAGGGCTTGGTGGCCAGTTTATCTAACCAACGGTGAGCTCCAGACTCGGTAAAAGACTCCATCTAAAATATGTATGTGGAGAACAATCGAGGAAGGTAACTAGTGTCAATCTCTGGCCTTTACATACACACATAAACACAGGCAGACACCACACCATACATGCACATACCATACATGCACACACATGTGTATCTGCAGATGGAGAATGGGTAAAGCCTAGTGCCAGATGGCTTACTGCAGACTTAAGTGAGCTTTTCTGAACCCACCAATGGTTTTATTAATAACAAAATCTGGCCTGTACTCAGCTCTCTGCCAGCACAGCAACCAACAATTGAACATACAGAGACAATGTTCACACAGTGTACACAAAGGTTACCCCAATGCAGACTTCTACCAAATGTTTACTATTAATTTCCTATGAAATTATTTCAGGATATTAAAGAGGATATAATTCTTTCAAACTCATTTTATGAGGCCACTCTTACTGGTTTGCAAAGCAGGAAACAAACAATTTAAAAAGCTATAGGTCCACATCCTTAGTAAACATATTTGTAAAACTCCTCACCTGAATGCTGTCAATACAAACAGCACATTAAAAATAGTTTTATTAGGGCTAGAGCGATGGCTCAGTAGTTAAGAGCGCTGACTGCTCTTCCAGAGGTCCTGAGTTCAATTCCCAGCAACCACATGGTGGCTCACAACCATCTGTAATGGGATCTGGTGCCCTCTTCTGGTATGTCTGAGACAACAACTGTGTATTCACATTAAATAAATATTAAATAAATATTTTTAAAAATAGTTTTATTTTTGTATTATTTTTAATATCCTGGCTGCAGTTTCCCCTCCCTCCTCTCCTCTCAGCTCCTCCTCCCAACCACTGCCCCCCCCCAGCCACTCCTCCTCTGTTGCTCCCTGATGGAAGGTTCAGTCTCCCTGATGGAAGGTTCAGGAGCTAAAGCTCCTGTGAGCCCAAGTTTGTTGATTCCATGGTTTTTTTGTTTTTTATTTCTTTGGTTTTTTTTGTGTGCTGTTTCTGATCCTTCTTGTTCCCACAGTCTTTCCTTCCCTCTTCAGCAGGATTCTCCAAGCTCCACCTAATGTTTGGCTGTGGGTCTCTGCATCTATCTCCACCAGTTGTTGGGTGAAGTCTCTCTGATGAAAATTGCAGTAGGTACCTGTGGTGGTTTGACTATGCTTGGCCCAGGGACTGGCACTATTAGGAGATTTAGCCTTGTTGGAGTAGGTGTGGCCTTGTTGGAGTAGGTGTGGCCTTGTTGGAGTAGGTGTGGCCTTGTTGGAGTAGGTGTGGCCTTGTCAGAGTAGGTGTGGCCTTGTTAGAGGAAGTGTATCACTGTAGAGGTGGGCAATGAGACCCTCTTCTTAACCATGCGAGAGCCAGTCTTCTTTTAGCAGCCTTCAGATAAAGATAAAGAACTCTCAGTTCCTCCTGTGCCATTCCTGCCTGGATGCCGCCATATTCCTACCTTGATAATAATGGCCTGAAGCTCTGAACCTCTAAGCCAGCCCCAATTAAATACTGTCTTTATAAGAGTTGCCTTGATCTGGTGTCTATTCACAGCAGTAAAACCCTAACTAAGACAGCATTAATCTATGATTATAGCAGAATATCATTAGGAATATTTCATTGACTTTTTTTTCCCAGTTGTATTTGGTTCTGTACTAAGTCTCTTGGCTATCCAGCCTCTAGTTTCTGGCCCTCCAGGCAGTGTCAGGGGTGAGCTCCCTCTCAGGGCATGGGTCTCAAGTTGGACCAGTCATTGCTTGGCCACTCCCTTACTTTCTGTATCACCTTTACCCCAGCACACCTTGTAGGCAGGATAAATTGTAGGTTGAAGGTTTTATGGTTTGGTTAGTGCCACTGGAAGTCTTGCCTGGTTACAGGATGACTGGTTCCCCTTCTGTATCCCCCACTGTTAGGGGTCTTAGCTAGGAACACCCTCATAGATTCCTAGGAGTTTCCATTGCACTAGATTTCTAGCTTGTCCCAGAGATGCTCCCCCCCCATTCCAGTTTTCTCTCCCAGCCCTCTCTTCCTCTGTCCTCCCCACACCTGATCCCTTCTGTTCCCATCCCTCCCCCATCCACCCGGGATTTCTATTTCTTTTCTATTCTATTCTTTCTGTCCTGTCCTGTCCTGTCCTGTCCTGTCCTATCCACAGTGAGAGTCATGCATTCCTCCCTTGTTCTCTTCTTGTTACTTAGCTTCTCTGTGTATGTGTATTGTAGCATGGTTATCCTTTACTTACTTATGAGAACATACCATGCATGTCTTTCTGGGTCTGGGTTACCTCACTCAGGATGATCTTTTCTAGTTCCATCCATTTGCCTGCAAATTTCAAGATATCATTGTTTTTAATAGCTCAGTAATACTCCATTGTGTAAATATGCCACATTTTCTTTATCCATTCTTCAGTTGAGGGACATCTAGGTTGTTTCCAGTTTCTGGATATTACAAATAAAGTTGCTATGAACATAGTTGAGCAAGTGTCCTTGTGATATGGTAGAACGTCCTTTGGATATATGCCCAGAAGTGGTAGAGCTGGGTCCTGAGGTAGATTAATCCAAAATTTCTGAAAATTTTCCATAGTGATTTCTAAAGTGGCTGTATAAGTTTGCACTCCCACCAGCAATGGAAGAGTGTTTCCCTTGTTCCACATCCTTGCCAGCATGAGCTGTCACTTGTGTTTTTGATCTTAGCCATTATGAAAGGTGTAAGATGGAATCTCAGAGTCATTTTGATTTGCATTTCCATGATGGCTAAGGATGTTGAACATTTTCTTTTAAGTGTTTCTCAGCTGTTAGAGACTCCTCTACCAAGAATTTTCTGCTTAGATTTGTACTCTATTTTCAATTGGACTATTTGGTTTGTTGATGTCTAGTTTCTTGAGTTCTTTATATATTTTGGATATCAGCCCTATGTCAGATGTGGAGTTGGTGAACATCTTTTCCCATTCTGTATGTTGCCATTTTGTCCTTTGCCTTTTGCCTTACAGAAGCTTTTCCATTTCATCAACAATTTATTAATTGTTGATCTTAATTCCTGCATGACTGGTGCTCTGTTTGGGAAGTTGTCGTGTGCCAATGCATGCAAAGCGATTCCCCATTTTCAGACTCACTGATACATGCCTGTAGTCCCTTGGGAAGGGGATATGGAAATATTGTTTGAGCCCAGAGGTTCAGGGCTAGCCTGGGCTTATATACAAGAATGACTCAACATGATCAAGTACAATTAATCCCGAGCAAAGGTGGCTCCACATGCACAGATAAACATACCACAACAACACATGCACAGATAAACATACCACATCTACAGGATGGAGGGCAAAAG